ACGCCCCGGGGACCCCCCAGCCTGGTCCGGGGAAGAGGCGGAGGGCTGGGGGCCATCGGGTGGCTGACTCGATCCATGCCAGGTGCAGGGTCTGCTAGCTGGGTGCTGGCAGGCTTGCACCTGGCACGGGCACCGTAGCCAGCCTGTGCCCCTTTAAGGGATCTGGGGCCGGGAGGGGGGCAATAGAGTTTCCCTGGTGTTGGCCAGAGTGGCCACCAGGGAAAGCTGGGGAGGGCTAGCCTCCCACTAGTTCAAATTAAGGGGCTACACACCCCTTAATTCGAACTAGTTAATTCGAACTAGGCTTAGTCCTCTTGGAATGAGGTTTACCTAGTTCGAACTAAGCGCTCCGCTAGTCCAGAGTGGCCACCAGGGAAAGCTGGGGAGGGCTAGCCTCCCACTAGTTCGAATTAAGGGGCTACACACCCCTTCATTCGAACTAGTTAATTCGAACTAGGCTTAGTCCTCTTGGAATGAGGTTTACCTAGTTCGAACTAAGCGCTCCGCTAGTTCAAATTAATTTCGAACTAGCGGAGCGCTAGTGTAGCGCCTATCAATTGTCTTCCCAAACTTCTGTTTCACAAAAAGGTCATTTTCTGTTGAATAAATGTTTCCATGGAAAATTTCTGACCAGCGGTTATGGTCAGCAGTCCATTCCATGACTATTGACTCCAGACCATAACTTAGGGTATGTCTACACTATAGAGTTTTGTTGGAGAAATGTCCATTTTTCCTACAGAACTTGAGGAACGTCCACACTGCAATCACGTTCTTTCGCAAGTAAATTGAAAGAACAGAGGGGTTTTTCTGGGACTGGTAATCCTCATTCTAGGAGGAGGAATCCTTTTTGCGAAAGAGATCTTTTGCAAAAAGGTGTGTGTGGATGGGGAGGAGGGATTTTTTTTGCAGAAGAAGAGGCCTTCAGGAAAAAGCACAGGTACTCTGGTGGCCACTCTGTACAAAGTAATCACAACTCTATAGTTCTTGACTCCTGGCCCCTCTTATAGCTGCAGGCATCCTGGACAAGCCTTGTGGCAGGAAGCTGGCCAGAGAGCACCCTTCACTGGCCAGCTCTCCCTGCTACAGGCTTGCTCAGATGGCTGAGTCTCTAGCCTCCTGTGATGCCCCTGGCCCTCGCCGGGAGCAGTCCCAGGGATCCCAGGACCCACCCAGGTGGAGCAAGAGGCGTGCCCTGTCCTTGTCAGGCCTAGAGGTCCAGCCCTTTCTCAAACTGTGGGGCGAGGAGGAGGCCTTGAAGGATTCTCAGGCAAAGCGCCTCAATGAGGACATTTATGGCCGGATGGCCGAGTTCCTGGCAGAGTGCGGACACCCACCCTGGACCTTGGAACAGGTCCAGAGTAAGGTCAAATTGCTCCATCAGGGATATGGCCAGGCCAGAGAGCGCAGGTCACGCTCAGGGGCAAGACTCCACACCTGCCCCTATTACCAGGAGCTGCACCAGATCCTGGGGGATGGGGAAATGTCTTCCCCGCCCACTCTCGTCGACTCGGAGGAGCCGGAGGACCAGGGACAGCCGGAGGTGGAAGTGGAGGTGAGTGGTGTCACTTTGTCACACACACAGGGTGGGCAAGGCGGGCGCACAGGGGGCGGGAGGTGAGCGTCACTCGGGCTGGACATCGTGCTGCGGTGCGTGCACGTGCAACCATGTGCTGTGTGACTGTGTGGCACGTGGATGCAGCAGGCAGCCCCTGAGCACGGGTGGGATCCTGCTCCCAGGCTCAGGGGAGGCCACACACATCCTGCCACTTGGGTGGAGGGGGTGCCCCGGCTGGAAGCAGGCTAGCCACAAGGACGCAGGCACGACCCCCCACAGACCTAGGAGTGCCGCTCACAGCACACGGACATGCCTGCACGTGCGAGGCAGCAGCCGTTCCCACAGACAGCCCAGTGAGTCGCACCTTTATGTGCAGATCCCAGGGAGGCCAAGGCTGCTCCCAGCTCCTCTGCCGCCCATGAGGAGATCCCCTGTGGCCAGACACTTCTCTTGGCTGCTTGTCCATGGACTGGAGGTGTGGGGGGTGAGAAGCAGGCAGCACGGCCCTCTGCGCATCTTGAGGCCCCTGTGAGACAGGGCCTGCTGTGCAGGCCCCACATGGCCTTGCACCTGGGACAAAACCCTCTTCTGGGCTATGGACTGTTGGTCTCTGCTCACAGAGGAGCGCACGGCCTCAGGGACAGTGTCTGCAGGGATGACTGACCACCTCTCCTTCTTGTGTGTTCCCCACAGCCGGGACTGAGGGCCAAGACACACCACCGCAGCCACCCGCCAGAGCCCGGGGGACCCAAAAGCGCACCAGGGTGCACAAGGACCTGTTGCGCCAGAACATCAGTGTCCTTTGTGACATCCACCAGACCCTGGAACACAAGGCCCACACAGACTTGGAGTGGTGGGACCGTGCCCAGGAACAGTTGATACAGCAGCGTGACAACATGTGTGCCGCCATGTCCCGCATGACAGCACACCTGCCTGATGCCGCTGCTCCTGGCTTCCACTCTCCTGCCCCCCTGCTATGCCCATTCCCCATCCACCTGCCCCCTCTGCTATGCCACTGCTCCTTCCCCAGGTGATGCCCATGCTTCCTTCCCTAGCAATGCCAGTCCCCTTCCCTTTGCCCCCTCTACCAACCCTGACCCCGCTCCAGCCCCCACTCCTGTCCACCTGCCTGGGCTCCCCAGACCCACCCGACCACAACTCGGACGAGGTCCCCGCACCTGAGGTGGCACATTGAGCCTCTCCTCTCCCCCTCCCCCTCCCAGTTATGAGCCCTTCTCTCCCTGCCCACCTTTTCAGAATCTTTCATTAATGCAGACTGCATTTAAAAAAAAAAACCTGATGTGTTTATTGGGAGGTCAGGGAAAGGGCGAAGGGAGGGGTTGTGGTGGGGAAGGGATAGGGCTGCAAGGCAGAGGCCCAGTAGGGAGGAGACCCTGGGGAGAGTTACTGGGGTCCTTGAGAGAACCTCTCCTTCAGGGCCTCCTGGATGTGCACCCTGGCCTGTTGGGCCTGGCGGATGGCAGCTGCCCGTGGCTGCTGGAAGGCTTGCCACTCATCATGTGGCGTCTTTCCCCTCTCCCCCAGGAGGAAGGCCTCCCTCTTCCTCTCCACAATGTTGTGGAGGACAAAACATGCAGCCACCACCTCGGGGAGGTTCTGTTCCCCTACCTCGAGGCGGGTCAGCAGGCACCAGAAATGTGCCGTGAGGCAGCCGAAGTTGCAATGTACCTGGATCTGGGCCCAGTTCAGGTGGGCATTGAATTGGTCCCTGCTGGGATCCAGGTGGCTGGTGTATGGCTTCATCAGCCATGGCATCGGAGGTAAGCCGCATCCCCCATGATGCACAATGGCATCTGTACATCCCTAACCACAAAGTCATGGCGAGGGAAGAATGTGCCCACCTCCAGCTTCCTGTACAGGCTGGAGTTCCTGAAGACACAGGCATCGTGTGCCCTGCTCGACCACCTGACAAAAATGTCTGCAAAGTGTCCCCGGTGGTCGACCAGGGCCTGCAGCACCATTGAAAAGTAGCCCTTTTGATTAATATACTGGGCCGCTCAATGGTCCTGTGCACGGATCGGGATGTGAGTGCCATCTATGGCTCCATCGCAGTTTGGGAACCCCAGAGCAGCAAATCCGTCCACGGTCGTGTCCAGCTCTCCCGGACAGATGTCCCTCCGTAACAGAATTGAGTTGATGGCTCTCTCAACCTGCAGAAGGCAACAAAGAAACACACAAAATAGAGAATGAGAGAGGGGGTGCCTGAGTCCTTGGGAGGTGCTGGCCCTGCTCCCATCCCCTGCCTCCATGAAATACCCCAGGAGCCACCCCCTATGAGGTGCCCCCCCAGCAGCAGGGCTGTGTGAGGGCGGGACAGCACAAACCCCCAGGGATGGGGCTTCCCCCCCCACACTCCACCCCTCACAGTCCCTAGTCCCCCTTTCCTGAGGGTTCCCCTTATGCAACAGTCTCTCCCCGCCCCCCTTCAGGGACTGCAGTCTGAGAGCTCCCTACCTCCATGAGGAGGGCCCCGACGGTGGACTTCCGCACGCTGAACTGGTTGCCCACCGACCGGTAGCTGACTGGGGTGGTGACTTTCCAGAGGGCAATAGTGACCCACTTCTCCCGGGGGATGGCGGGCCGCAGGTAGGTGTCGCATTTCCAGAGGGCAGGGGCCGAGCCAGGCGCACAGCTCCAAAAAGGTGGCCTTCCGCATGCGGAAGTTTTGGAGCCACTGCTGGTCATCCCACCACTCCATGCCCAGCTGGTCCCACCAGTCTGAACTGGTGTCAAGCTTCCAGAAACCCCTCTCTACTGTGGGGTGCAGTTACCAGAGTGGAGCAGCCAGAGCCATGGAGACGGACCCCAGAATGAGCTCGGGGTCCAGGACATGCAAGACTAGGAAGGCATCTGGCAGAAAGTGCTGCAAAACCTGCAGCATGGCCATGTGGGGCCATCACATGCCCAGGGGCAGCTCCGGCTCCATGGCACAAAGGAAAAAGCAGTGGTGTCCAAAAAGAACAGGGCAACCACAGCAGGCAGTGTGAGAGCTTTGCTGTCCCTCGAAGAGATAGCAACCACGCAGCAGAAGCAGAGACACTGCTGTCAGGAAGGGTCCTTGTAAGTGCATGTCTCTGCAAGGCTCCGACACCAGCATTCGGAAGCAACTGATGCCCTAAAGCCCTGCCTGAAGTGGTTCTGGGTGGCCTTTTATGCAAGAGAGTGTCGAATGAGACTCTTTTTCGATGCGTTTTTGTGTGTGGACGCGCTCTTTTGCAAGAAGTTTTTTCAGAAGATCTCTTCCGAAAAAAACTTCTTGTGCAAAAATCCTGTAGTCTAGACGTAGCCTAAGTGGCATCTTGATCAATAGCAGTAGGGGATCAGGCTTAGATTTACAGAAGTACCACTGAAACTTAGAATCCTAAGGCTATGACTACACTCGCAGCTTCTTGCGCAAGTATGGCCATTCTTGCGCAAGAATCCGCAGAGCGTCTATGCTGCCCGCTCGCTCTTGCGCAAGGAAATTTACAGTACGGCGTGGTAAGAGAGGGCTTCTTGCGCAAGAGCTATGCTCTTTTTTAACAGGTATAAGCCCTCTTGTGCAGGAGCTCTTGCTCAAGAGGATTGGCAGGGATTTCTTGCACAAGAAAGCCCTATGGCTAAAATGGCCATCGGAGCTTTCTTGCACAAGAGAGCATCGACACAGCCATGGGAGCTCTTGCGCAAAAGCACAGCATGCACATGGCAGTGTGGACGTTTTCTTGTGCAAGATTTCTTGCACAAGAACCCTTGCACAAGATGTTCTTGCACAAGAAGCCACGAGTGTAGACATAGCCTAGATGTCTTTGTGAGTCTGGGCCTGACATATTCTCTTTTGTCTCTTTGTGAGTCTGGGCCTGACATATTATCATGACCCCAAGGCACTGATAGGAGCAAATGAGCACGCTGAGGAGAATTGAGTGGATAACTGAGTTCAGTGACCAAATTGAAAAATAAAATTGAAAACAGTTAGTGTTGAGTTGACCCAGAATGGATTTTTTTGTACTTCTCATTAAAATGAAAAATTTCAAAGAAAACCAGAGTTCTGGGTTTTAAAAAATATTTTGTTCAAATGTAAATTTTTTTTAGTTCTATTTTGGTTTCGGATTTTGCTTGTACACGTTTGTTTATTTAAATCTAGCTACATTTTTAGATGAAAAGTCATTTTAAAATGAAAGGTTAATGTGTTTCATATAGAAAATATTAAAGCATCCAGGGTACGTTTACATAGCAGCATTGGTTTGGAATAACTGATGTTGTTTCGAAGTAACAAAGAGTGTGTCTATACAGCAAGCCATTATTTTGAAATAATTTCGTGCTGAAGGACGTCTTACTCTGACTCCTGTAACCCTCATTTCACAAGGAGTAAGGGAAGTCCTTAGTTGGGATTGATCCTGCCTAGAGCAGGGGGCTGGACTTGATGACCTTCTGAGGTCTTTTTCAGCTCTATGGTTCTATGATTCTTTGATTCTATAATTCTAACCATTGTAGCAGGACATAGTTGATGGCCTTGGCTACTTTTATGAGCACCCTGAACTGGTTCCTGACTAAGCAGTAGCTGTTCAGCATTGAGTATCTGAATTCAACTTTTGCCCTGCTGTGTAGATGTGCACTTAGACTCCCTGTCCAAAAAGCTATTTGCCAAATTCGTCCTGAATTAATTAACGCTTTTAGTCAGATTGAAAACGGCATTTTTCCCATCAAATAAGCTCTTCCCCTGAAAAACTATGTCTCGTTCTAATCCTGAGGGAGGTCTATGATCTTTCCAGGGGAAAAACAGGCTGCTTAGCATTTAGAAAGAAATAACATTTTGTAAAAGAGCAAGTCATTCTCTTCAGACTAGGTTCAGTTGTTAAAATGTCTTCCTAGAAAATAGAAATAACAACTTTTAGTGGCTATTGGGGGGTTAGTAATGAAATTCTTATCCTCTTGGTTAATTAAAAGCAAATGTTCTTTCTCTAGTGCATTCCACATACTGTGTGATGAAGACAGTAGCAATTTATTAAACTATAGTAAGGAAAATAATATCTAACTAATGGCTTAAGTGGGTAAGGATATGAAGATGATGAACAGCTGTTTTTAATTAGGAACATCCTGATGCAATAAGTGATTATACATATTATATGTAACTGGATTATTTATTGGGCTATTTGTTATTCAGCTTCAGCCAAATGCCACTGACCAATTTTCTGTACTGAGTTGAATACTACAACTAAGCATCTGATAGACCCATAGTTACAATCTTGACTCCAGTGCTTTGGTACTAATGTTGGACCCACCCCCTAAACTGAGTGAATTAAAAATAAGTCTACCTTGAGTTCATGAGAAAGTTCTGCTATTGCCAGTTAGATTAGAAAGCCATTTTCTATTAAAAAAACATGTTTCATGGAAATTTGTTGACCTATGTAAATGCGTGATGTTGTACTTAGCGTAGGGAGTGTGCCTTTTTTGATATGCTGATGAGGGACTCTTTAAGATACTCTTTAGTAGGAAAAGCTTCTCATTACCTCATTAATATGAAAATTAACAACCTTGTCATTAAATTCCAACCTGAGCTATTTTTAATAGGGACAGAAGGGGAACATTTTTACATATATATATAAGCAAATCAAGTCAAATGTTGTTGATTTAGTCTTTGGCCATGTGAAACATAAATGAAATAAATCCATACGATAAACCCAATTAAATGTATATACTACCAGTAAACAAGCTACCATCGAGAAAGCTAACTAAGCAACTTGAAAAAAACAGCAAATGGTCTGGTAGCACTTTATAGACTAACAAAACATGTAGTTGGTATCATGAGCTTTCGTGGGCATAGCCCACTTCTTGAGTTATTCATATGTAGACCATACACCTGTTTGTGCAGTCCTGTTTCTGCATTCACATATTTCCATTAGTATTTCTTTTAAGGA